GCATTGCCTTATTTTTGTGCATCTGAGAAATGAATAAATATCACTGTTTTAAATTTTCAGTTAACAGGCGCCCAGCATCGTTTAGCAGCTACATTTTTGACAACAAGATAAAATTCAAATGCCTATATCTCGACAATGCGTGAAGCGATTTTCATGAAAATTTCGAGAGGGGTTAGGGGAAATTGTCTAGTTTTACTGGGTAGCAATAACTCAAGAAGAAAAACAACGTCTATGGGTATGATGGTCTGTTTTGTAAGCATTGTTAGACAAAAATATAGGCTTGGCGGTTTGATGGTCTGAAAAGAAAAATTATTAGACACACATCGAAGCTTGGAGGTCTGTTGGTCAAAATTGATGAAGAATTTCTTAAAATTGTTTAAGAAATTTTTTAAAAATTAAAAAAAAATGAATTTAATATAGATACCAAATATTATCAATTACCAGAGAGAAAAAATATCATTAATTTATTCGTTTTATACATATATTTATAAATTGTTTATTAAAAAGGATAAATGTAATGTGTATTCGTTTTGAGACAATACCGTAACCCTTAATTGTATTATTTGTAATTTTAAATATTATAAGTTTATTTATATATATTTTTTTTTTGAAAATGTGATTATGTTCTAAAGAGAGGTTAATGTATAAATCTAAAAAAAGTGGGATCCATGCGCATTTTGTTTTGCATTCGATGTTGAAATATCATTTAATTTTTTTCTTTAATTTATTTATCTTTTTTTTAGTTTAGCAGAAGGAATTTTTATACAAAATCTATTTTCGATTAAATGATGATATTTTAAAGTAATAAAATCTAATCATATTTTCGGATTCGAAACCGATTTTTAAGATGAAATGTGTTTATGTTCCAAAAGCGACAAATTATGAAAAAGGTAGGTAGGTAGGCGAAGCCATTGGATCCCTTTATAATTTACATTTTAAAGCAGCTAATAATTTTATTATTCTTTTTTCTCTATCCAATTGATATATAACAAATAATGCACAAATATAGTCAAATATTTAATAAACAACACTTAGAGACAATAAGTAGTGATAAACAATTTAAAAAGGAAGAAGCAGATGATACAATAATCAAAAGAATGATTCAAGTCAATACACAAAAAAAAGAGAAAATTCCAAATATTCAAATCTATGATTGTGATAAACTATTACGAGAACTAGGACGTTCAATTGTCATCGTTTGCTGGGGCACCTGGCTATCGGGACTGATGCCAAGGCCAGAATAGATTTCCTTCATAACAAACAGTATGGTATCCTCAGAATCCCTGTAATTAAAAAAAAGAAACAAAAAACAAAATATTTTTCAAAATTTTTATTTTCATTTAACCAAGTTCAACAAAACTTACCAATAACACACATGACTACTCAATGCAAATATGTACTCGTTTATAAATTCCAAGGGTGCCTCTTGCAGTACATAGTCAATGCGTTTGGAATCATTTAATTTACCCAGAGGGAAATCTATTTCAACCATATCATCTGATACGGCAGTGGATACCGAATCGGTACGTGTACGTTGTGGCAATGGCAAATGTTGGCTACTGCTGCTGTTAGTTTGTTGTTCATCACCCGGCGACAGATGTTCCTGATTGGGTGTTTGTGATTGCGATTGTTGTTGGCTGCCACCACTGCCTTGACGTTCCATTTGCATTTGCATTTCAATGACCTAAAATATAACAAAATAAAATAAAATTAGAAGTTAGATTCAAATTAACCTCAAGTTAGAATATATTTAATGATAATCAATGGAAAATAATTAAAAACAAATCCTCCTGAAAGTCTATATGGCCATTGCAAAAGAAAACATCTTTAAAAATTCCACGCCTATTAATGATCCATTAAAGAATATTTTTTAAAAAAGTCCACCCCTATTGATGCTCCTTGAAAAAATATTCTTTAAAAAATCCACGCCTATTTATGGTCCTTGAAAAAATATTCTTTAAAAAATCCACGCCTATTTATGGTCCTTACACAAATATTCTTTAAAAAATCCTCGCCTATTTATGGTCCTTGAAAAAATATTCTTTAAAAAATCCACGCCTATTTATGGTCCTTGAAAAAATATTCTTTAAAAAATCCACGACTATTTATGGTCCTTGAAAAAATATTCTTTAAAAAATCCACGCCTATTTATGGTCCTTGAAAAAATATTCTTTAAAAAATCCACGCCTATTTATGGTCCTTGAAAAAATATTCTTTAAAAAATCCACGCCTATTTATGGTCCTTGAAAAAATATTCTTTAAAAAATCCACGCCTATTTATGGTCCTTGAAAAAATATTCTTTAAAAAATCCACGCCTATTTATGGTCCTTGAAAAAATATTCTTTAAAAACTCCACGCCTATTGATGGTCCTTGAAAAAGTATTCTTTAAAAAATCCACACCTATTGATGGTCCTTGAAAAAAATATTCTTTAAAAAATCCACGCCTATTGATGGTCCTTGAAAAAAATATTCTTTAAAAAATCCACGCCATATCTTGGTCCTTGCAAAAGTGTTCTTAAAAAAATCCACGCCTTATCTTGGTCCTTGAAAAAATCTTCTTTAAAAAATCCACTCCTTCTGCTGACCCTTGAACGAATATAGTTTACATTTTTGTTTTAGTACTTACCTTTTGCACTTCCTTTTCCATCATTTCCTCTGTCTCCTTTTTCGATTTCGGTGCCAAGGGACCAAAGAAGTTAACACTATCCAAGGTATTCTTGAATTTATCCAAGAAACGATGTTTCAAATCGGTGCTGACACGAGCCATTGTCTCCTTCAATTCCAAATGCATACGTTTGCGACCCTTGTGATGGGGAATGAGGACAGGACGTACACCACTTAAATCAGGATTAACCAAGGCTTCTATGCGATAGGCAACCGGATCATATGGATGGAAAATGTTATAAAAACCAGGGCATGTGGGTAGGCGGAAGTCAAGGCCAAGCTTATCAATGCCACGAATGGTGACGAACATACCTATAAAAAATAATTTAAATCACCTAATTTTCGGAGAGGGGTGTGAGGGGTCCTTACCAATTGGTGATCCCAGGGCAAAGAATTTCTTCGGCTGAAAGATCAATTGGCCATAGTTGATAAACGGTTGTCCAGTACCGGCTGGACCCATGGTATAACTTATCGATTTGGCTTCCAATTGATTGTTACTATCCGCCGCCGCTCCCGCCATATTGTTTTGACTTAGAAATTGTTGATCGGGATTTTCGAGATTCTTCTCCTCACTTTCTTTGATGGGATTTTGATGGCAAAGTAAATCGAAAAGTATTAATGAACCCAAACTGTGGCCAGCCAAAGAAACGCCACCATTAAAATCGGGATGACGTTGACGATATTTCATATAGATATCATTCAAAGACATTACAATTGAATTCATAATCCGTTGACAGAATGTAGGGCTGGTATAGAATAGTATATCCAATAGAGTGTCATTGGTGAAGTTACGCAGTTTTGGGATCGATTCCAAGGTTATGGAACGTAATTTCTCATCAATACCCAATTCGATGGAGTGCAGATGACTGTGCCATGAAATGGGTAGGACTTCAACGCGACCCACCAAACCCAAATCGGCGGAATTTTTATAATGTGATTGTACCAATTGGTGGGCAATGGTGCGGAAATCTTCAACTGTAAGGTGAGGTGAAGAAGAGGAGAAATTAGGTTAATTCTGTTTAAATAAAATATTATTTTGATACTTACCAACTTCTTCAACAGATCTCAGCTTCAAATCGCATGCCGAACCAATACCATGTACCATAAAGAGTAAATGATCGACCTTTTGGGATTCACCTTGGGCAATGGTGAAATCATCTAGATCACGTTTAACCACACGGGGTCTGGTGGTGGTTTGCTGAGAATAATAAAAATAAAAAAATAATTCTTCCCTATTTCGAATGGTATTCCATGTATTATTTTCCTTACCGTGGTACCACCCCAGGCATCTTGATTTTGTTGCTGCTGGAAGTGTACAATAACTGTGGGGCCATGGAAGACCACCTGTTCTCCCATACCCAATATAATGGTCTTGTGCCAAACACCACTTTCGGCAGCCTGTTTATATTCCGCTTCCAAAACATCGGCTGTACTTTCTTCGTAGGGTATATATTTGGAATCGACTGCCTTGTAAAACCACGAACAACGTCTCACTTCAATTGGTTCACTTTCCCAATAGACACTACGTTTGATGCGCTCTTTAATGTAGACATCATAGCGGCCACCTTCAACGGCAACAACTTCGGGTTTATCTTCTGGAAATTAAAAAAAAAAATAACAAAGTTGAGAGGCTGATAAGATATTTATAAAAAAATTGTTTATTTGGACCAAATCTGTTTCAGAAAATTTAGAGTAGATCTAAAAATGACCATCGGTCCGTCCCACCGTCGGAAAATTCAACCTCCATGAAGAAAGATCAGACAACGGCATGAGGTTCATTGACTTCGCGGCAGCAAAAAAACATGGTAGTTAGCTGCACCAGATTCAAGCATCTCGATATACACAAGGCCACCTGGATTTCTCCGGATCAAACAACGAAAAATCAAATCGATCATCTTGTGATAGACGGAAGGCATTCATCCAGTGTATTAGACGTTCGATCGATCCGAGGAGCGAATATCGATTCGAAACTTACCCACCTGCTTGATGAAAGCACTCCTTGTCCCGATAATAGTATAGAAGCACAATGGCAAAGAATTGCCCATTCCCTACAAGTGTTGCAGCAAAAGCAACACTTGGGTACCAAAAACGATCATTAAGAAATTTATGGTACGATCAGGAGTGTCGTAATGCTACTGATGTGAAAAATGCAGCGTATAGGACAATCCTGCAGACAGTAGCAACACGTAATATGAGAGAGAATTATAGGGAGAAAAGGAGAAAGTAGAAACGAAGTCCGGAAATGTTATCAACAGGTAAAACACCAAACCGAAAGCTTTGGTGCAGCACATCCTCCGGTAGAGATAAAGAAGGGAATTTGGTGACAGATACAGACAGCGTGTTGAGGATCTGGAAGGGCCATTTTGAAAAGCGTCTGGTACAAATAGTAGCGGTGAAGTGGATACTCCAGAACCAATAATAGATGCCGGTATAGAGTGTATAACACCTAGCCAAGATTAGTTCAGGATAGCAATTAATCGGCTGAAGACCAATAAAGCAGTAGGTGCCGATGGGTTACCAGCCGAACTATTCAAGGCCGGTGGTCAGACGCTGATCAGGAGCATGCACCGACTGATTAGTACAATTTGGCTAGAGGAATACATGCCCAATGATTGGAACCTCAACATCCTGTGTCTCGTGCACAAAAAAGGAGACAAGACGATATGTGTCAACTATAGAGGAATAAGTCTCCTTCCCATCGCATATAAAGTGCTATCCAGCGTACTGTGTGAACGACTGAAGCCAACGGTCAATGACATTATTGGACCATACAAATGCGGCTTCAGACCTGGCAAATCCACCATAGACCAGATTTTCACACTGCGCCAAAACCAGGACCCACGAAAAACACATCGACACATTCCACCTATTCGTCAACCATAAAGCCGCATTCGACAGCCCTATCCGTTCGGAGGTGTTTACAGGCATGTCTGCGTTGGGCATTCCTGCAAAATTAATACGGCATGCAGGATAACTTTGAGTGTGACCTTTTTAACATCCCGCTGGAAAAGGTCATAGAAGAAGCAAAGGTTATGTTACTCGCCTACGCCGATATAATGGGTCGAACATTGCGAGCTGTAACAGCCACCTTTGAACTAATTAAGAAGAAGTCTGCCAAAGTGGGGTTTGACAGTAAGTGGCGAGAAGACCAAGCTGATGATATCAATGCGCAAGACGTCTAGTAGACTCGGACCAGCTGTGGAACTTGTAAAATTACAACTTCGAGGTGGTGAAGATTTTATATACCTCGTTACCGCCATAAATAAAACTAATGACATCAGTTTTGAAATTTTAAAATTCGGTCTAAGTAAACAGTTTTGAAATAAGGCCACCTCCCGCCAGACCAAACTCACAGTCTACAAGACTCTGATACATGTACTTACGCAAGCAGATCAGGCAGTTTTTGGAGGGTTTGGGAGAAAAATTCTTCAAAATATCTATGGGTCGATCTGCGCTGGCGGTGAATACCGGATATCGACCACGAATTCGATGGAAAGACCAAAAGAAAGACAACATTTCGGAACATGGTCTTTCAAATTGGAAGATCTGTGCACAAGACCGACTCGCCTGGAAATCTTTTTTTAAGCTCGGCTTATGGAACAACCGTTCTGTCATAAGACAGCTAAGCAAGTATGCAATAGGTCAAAAGTTATGGCAAAAAATATGAGGTTTACATTTTTGAGGCTCCGTTTTTTGATCGACCCAAACAATAGATGGCGCTGGTGGCAGCTTGTTACCAGTGTTGCCATCTGAAACTGAAAATCACAGATATTGTATACACTCTGAATTACATTACACGGATGGTCGTCCCACCACAAGCCTATTCAACTCACTGCACAGTGAAATCTGCAATTGCACCCCTAGATAATTGATTCAGAACCGGATAAGAATACTCGTAAAAAATCAAAATATAAATATAAGTTCTAAAATAATAATAAACAAAATTATAGCAGATGTGCATCATATAAATAAGTATTTTAAAATTTTTGACCTAGAGCCTGAGATAAGAACTAAGCCCATTTAAATAATAATCATAATCAAACTGTTTAAACTTTAACCTCCCATAAAGCGAATGATAGGCATGTGAATATAAATGTACAACATTTGATTATTTTAATATTAGTTTAAATTTGAAATTTGTAGATGATAGTCGATGCTGTACGGAGTAGAATCGCAACAAACATGAATTCCATCATTTTCCAATTCGTTTGGGTGGCAGTGTTAATTTATGGCAGTTTGTTGGTGAGCAGTTCCCCCACCACCGAGGTCGAACACAATGCCATTAATCAAAAATACTATCACTATTTAATGGATAATTTGGATACGAGTAATAGCCCCTGTTCACAATTCTATCCCTATGTGTGTTCCAAATGGCCGGCCAAACACAAATCGAACATTGACAATTATAATTCCGTGCAGAAGTTGTTGAGCTATGAAATCAATATGGAAATAAAGGCATATTTGGAAAACCAGACACCTGTAAAGGATATGCCAGAACATGTACGAATGGTTAGGGACTTCTATGTATCCTGCCAGGAAAATAATAATGTGAGTCTTATGGAATTTATGCAGTGGTTGGAAAAACACGAAAATATGAAATGGGCTTTGCTCACACCAATTGAGAATAAGGATGATGCCACCATCGCCTTCGATTGGCCCTCAACTATGGCCATATTTCGTAAATATGGTTTCAATGATTTGCTTGTAGAACAATGGACGGATTCGAAGAATAGCTTTAATTATGTAAAGAAAACCGATATCAGACATTTGATGAAGGAGATACATCTACCAAATGGTACCATTGAGTTTCTAGATCTTTGGAAGCGCATTGATGGCTTTGAATATAAATTTGGTGAAGTTGTTGCGAATAGCGAAGAAGGGGAACAGACATTGAAATTCAAAGATATACCATATCCGTGGTTCAAAAAATATCTCAAGGCTGTAATGGGAGGAGCAGGAGCAAAGGTTTCTGATATTGATGATAATACGGAATTCCGCATTCTTAGCCTTTCCAGTATGGATGATTTGGACAAACTACTCAAGGAATATGATGAAGCATTCCTTTGTCGTTATTTGGAAGTTAGATTTTTACTCTATTTGGAAAAGATCAATGAACTTGAAACTGATGCCAATAAATGTGTGACTCTAGCCACAGGATTACTTTCCTTATCGGCGGAATGGATTTACAAAGAATTGCATCCTGAGTTATTAGCTGAAATTCCCACAATTCAGCAAATGTTTGACAATATTGTAAAGAATGTCAACAAAACATTACAAATGGATAAGGACGGACGTAGCATAATACCCCAGCAATTCCTTAATAAACTCGATACGATGACAGTGCAAGTAAGCTATTTACCTTTGGAAAATTTCCAAGAATTCTTCGAAACAGATTATGCAAAATTGAAATTAAATTCCCACGATTTTCATGGTAATTATTTGCAATTATTGAAATTCTATTATGAAACGGAAATCAAAGATAACCGCAATGACACCGATATATTCTATACAACACCAACATATTCCATAATTAAACTGGACCTTATACCCAAATATGATGAAGATATGAATCGAATTATTCTACCATTTATGCTATTGCGTCCACCATTCTATCATCTTGCCTTTGAAGATATTTTCAAGCAGAGTTCATTGGCAACTCTGTTGACTGAAGTCATATTTTATGCCTTCGATACAAAAGATAGTGGTTTCAATGCAACGGATATAGACAATTTAGCCGAAATTATAAGTTTCCATTCCACGTTTGAGATCTTTTTCCAATCACTTCAAACCGATGACATCTCCAGATATCTATCGCTATTCAATTTGACTTCCCTGCAACAACTTAAACAATTATTCTTTATCAATGCGATCCATATTCGTTGTGAAGTAGATTATGCGGATGCGGAAATTACTAATTTTATTCTAATCCAATTATCGGAATTTAATGATGCCTTTGATTGTAAATTGAATAAATTTATGAAGAGAATTTTATAAAGAAAACTATTATAACTTATTAATAAATGCTTCTCAAGAATGTAAATTGAAATAATATTTGAGAATAGATGTATTTTTATTTATTTGGAAATAAGCAAGATATCGAGAATCACAAAAACAAACATGAAACCCATCATTTCCCAATTTATTTGGGTGGCAGTGTTAATTGATGGCAGTTTGGTTGTGAGCAGCTCCCCTACCATTGAGGATGACCACAATGCCATTAATCAAAAATACTCTCATTATTTAATGGATATTTTGGATAAGAGTAAAAGCCCCTGCTGTCCTGTCCTCTCCGGTCAAACATAAAGCGAATATTTACAATTATAATTCCGTGGATTAGCTACTGATTTATTATATATATATCAAAATAACTAAATACAATAAATTGTTGCCAGGAGAAAAGAAAAAAATCCAACTACTTTGTCAGCTTTTCCAACTTCTTCCGGCAGCGCAATCTAAATTATCCCCTGTAAAGTCTACTGCTTTACTTTTCACTTCCTGCATGTCATTTTCATCGACAGATACGTCTATTCCCACCGTCCATAATCCGAAAATCTTTGGAGTAGTCTTCAGTAACCTCCTTCAGTTCTCCACGCATGCCAAGTACGTCAACCAGAAGATGGAAGCTAGGAATAAAGTTTTGATAGATTTGGCTGACACCCCCTGAGGCAAGCATAAAGAAACGTTGGTAACGTCAGTCGTTTCATCTTTAATTATGCTGCCCCGGTCTGGACTTTTTTCCTTAGCGACACACAATGAAGATCCTTGCAAACTATTCGAAATAATGCCCGCCGAATTTGAACCGGGTGTATCCAGATGACGAGCGTCGATCATCTCCATAAAGAGACCAGGATACTGTCAGTTTCTGTTGGCATGCTATCTATCGTGCCATTCCAATCATCACACAGTTATGACTGATACACCTCCGCGATACATCCGTCAGGAATTCAAGCACTTTGTGAAATCCGAGCATCAACAGACGGTCTCCGAACCAAAGAATCCCTACAGATGCAACAAAGTCCTACTCCAACATTCTTCTGCAATTTTGGACAGTGAGAGGCTACATTATCTATTCAATTGTCCGTCCGAAACTACAAGTATATTGCCCATTGATTTATGGCTAAACTCAATAGAGGTAGCGCAATTTCTTCGGTTACCTTCCTCAAATCTTACTTCTATTGACACAAGTTAATATATTTGACATTTTCCTTTTTCCATATTTTCAGGAAAGAACTTTCACCAACAGCCAACCTTTTACAACAACAACAGACATTCATTTTGGGAAATTGGTCTAGGATGACGAGTGACCTTTGTATGGGGTGCCATATAGAAACGTGGACTTATATTGAAAATGTTCTGTGAAGAAGTTTGTTTACCCATCCAGATGCTAGTTTACAGCCTCTTCATAATGCCAAAAAAGTCACTTCGGTTGGAAAATGCACCATGACTATCAAACTACTTATAGAGGGGCTGTGTGAGTGCTATACCCAAAGTTCGGTCGGTATTTATAAGTATTCCTTAAAAGTTTATATTTTCTACCCAAACAGAATCCAAAAAATATCAAAATTTGACCCAATTCGATTGAAAAACGTATTTGATATCTATAAAATATCGAACAATTGGGATACCGTTATATGGGGGCAATACTAAACGATTGATACATTTTGTTCCGAACATTCGTTCCCCAAGGAGAACCCAAAAATATCAAATTTGCTTAAAAAACTTTGCTGAAAACATACATTTATTTCAATGGACAGGCGTGCCTGAAATCCTCAAAATTCCGAATTTTGATGGGTACATTTATATGGGGTTGTAACAAAACGTAAATCGATATTGAGATTTGCCAATGAGAATCTATAATATGTAGAGATGGTATTTACCGGGTAAATACCCAAGGGGTGGGTAAATACCCATTTGCGGGCATTTATTTGGGTATTTACTATATTGAATCGGTAATACATCTTACACCCTATTTCCGGGTTTCTGTTATCAAATCGATTTAGAATGGATAGTTTTACGATACTTTAAAGACGTGGGTAAATACCCGAGTTTTTACCCAAAAATTGGGTATAAACTCATTAACTGCCGAACCACTTGACATAGGCGGCCAAAATTTTGCACACATGTTTCTAATGTCAAAGCAAATATAGAATTCTAACATGGGGTCCCAGGGTCCAAGTTTTGAAATAGCCCCCATATATTAGACACATTTTACAACCTAATTGGCTGTAATTTGGCACAGAGCATTCTTTTGGGGTACCAAATGTCCATGCAAAAATTTATGTATGTAGGTCCACGTTTACTGGTAGCCCCCATACAAAGGTACCCTATTTTGAGTATTTACCCAAAAATTGGGTATAAACTCATTAACTGCCGAACCACTTGACATAGGCGGCCAAAATTTTGTGTGTCTAATAGACAAAAAATACTTTAAATTGGGAGATACCGTTATATGGGGACTATATCAAAACTTGGACCCAGGGACCCCATTTTGGATTCATATATTTGCTGTGACATTAAAAATATGTATGCAAAATTTTGGCCGCCTATGTCAAGTGGTTCGGCAGTTAATGAGTAGTACAGTCGGACGCGACCGACCGACCAAACGATACCCTATACAACTAGCAGCGGAACTCTAACATTCTGTGCATGTTTATTTCGAGCCTGTGCAATGTTTCGTGATATTTGCGCCCTTTTGCCATATTTTCCGAATATTCCCAGTATTCAGTACAGCCCGCCCTTCTAATTACTTGTCCAGATTTTCTTCACTGTGGGTTGTGTTGCGATTGTTGCGACTCGAAAAAAAAACACAAAAAATAAAGTTTTCGCTCCACTTTACCCAAAAATTAATATCTGATCATCACCGAAAATTATAGGCGTTGTCCAGGCATGCTGATTCTTTGGTCCGATTCCCTTCCATGTAAAATTTCACGATGTTCGGGCCTTAATTGCGGCCCTGGAGCGACTAGAAAAACCGACAAAAATTAAGTATTTGGTCCATTTCATCCGATCCGATCTTTACCAAGAACAATAGGGGTCTTCATTGGCTAGAACCCATCCTACATACAAAATTTCGTGAAGATTGGTCCATAACTGTGGCCTGTATAGTGTTTACAAATTATATTGGACACACGGACGGACACACATTTCTACATCGACTCAGCTATTCGAGATATGACGATCGGTATATTTAAGGTGGGTCTAGGATCAATATTTCTCGGCGTTACAAATTCTTGTGGCTGCACAAAGCTATAATACCCTGACAACATAGTTGTGTAGGGTATAAAAATCGAAAAAAATTAAACTCCGCAGGGAATGACCTCGGAGTGGAACCACCACCAAACCAATTGTCTGCACATAACAACAATCACATTAACCTCTAAATGTGATTGTTGTTATGTGCAGGCAATACAGCTCCATTTTATACCCATTTTTAAAGGTTAAACAACCCTCTGGCAGAATTTTTTATGTATACACATGTTGCAACATTACTCTCATACAAGTAACCGACCAAATTTTGATATTTTCAATGCCAACCACATATTGCAGGATTAATGACCTTTAAGTACCAGAAGAAGAAGAGTTGGAGTACCCCCACATGAAACCGTCAGATGTTCGAAAGATGTCAGATGTTCCAAATGATGTCTTCAGAGGGTCGCAAAATTGAACAGGAGAAGCTATTGCATGTTTTGGAATTATCGATGGTGAATTTTTCAAGCTGGTGATCTTCAGAAGGTGTTTTGTTGAGTCCAATAGGCTCTATAGAATTGACGAATTATTCAATGTAGGTCCATGATTGCAAATGCCAACCAGGTGTTAATAAAACATTCTGACAGGAGATGTTTTCAACGTAGGCCTATTAAATCTATATATGAGGGGCCGATTTTGGTTTTTTGAACGATTACCTCCAAAAAAACTTGCCCTTAATGAGGTTCGGTGTTTTTTAGTGTGAACTCGGTGGACTTTTGGAATTTCATAGTTGTTTTCATTTGAACTTACCTCCCTCCATTAGAAGACTGGTCTCCAACAACGCCGAATCGTAATGACTGAATGGTACCCAAACTTGTTTGGCATCGATGGTACGCTTGTAGAACCAATGTTTGACTGCAGGCTTGTATGACTAAAAAGACAGAGATTTAATTAAAAAAATATTGAAAATGATATTCCGAAAATTCAAAGTACTCACCGTCCCAGCCACTGGTGTGGTGGGTTTATCACTTTGCAATACATTGGCCATTCTTAACTCCTTGAGTATTTCTTCGGGTAATTCTTCGTAATGTTTGGTCGTCGAATTGCTGTCAGTTGTGATGTTAGCTGTTGTCGAAGCTGGCGGTGCTGCTTCGACGGTTTTATTTTCTTCCTTGACAATTGATGTCTCCGAGGCGTTTAGGGTAGAAAATTCCGAACAGGCAGAGGATGGTGGTTCCACCAGATTAGAAATGGGCGTTAGGGAACGTTGTTGTAAATTACGTATGGCCAAACCACTGTGTACTAAATCGTAATTTAAATCACCCACGTGATCGGCGTCTTTGGGTGGTGGATTATTGAAAAAGTTTTGAATTCGTTGTTCTTCGTTGGCCAAAGCGGCGTTGGTGGTGGCGGCCGATGTGGAAATATTGGAAGATGGCTGTGGTTGTTGTCCGCCACTCAAGTTATCAAAGAATGAGGAACACGTATTGTCCTGCAAAGGAGCGGGGGCCGATTGATTAAAGTAATTACTGAAACTGTTTGTGGTGGAATTGGAGGCTGAGACTTCAGCTGTTTGTTGGGTGTTGTGATTTTCGAAACCAGTTGGTGGTGGAATCTGTTGTTGGAAATTTGTTTGTTGCTGATTGGAATCAAAGAAGTTGGGTGTTGAAGTACCCTGAATATGGACCTGGGGATTAAAACTTTCAAAACCAATTGGTCCTGGAGCTGTATTCGATTCTGAACCCTGATGTTTTTCGATCTCTTTGATGGATTCTGTAACAGCTGGAATTATACCCTGACTTATGGGCAGAGCTGGAAAAGCCGGGCCTGTTGGATGTTCCGAGGGATATGGTGTTGAGGGTTCTTCTGTGATTATCGGCTCTTCTGCGGGAGCTGAAGGTTCTTTTAATTCACTTTCTGAAGCTGTTGGAAGTTGGCTGTTCGTTGAAGCCCCAAAGAAGTTTTCAGTTTGTTGTGCGACTCCTTGATTTTGTTCGGAGAAAAAATTCGCGCCCGAGTCGACTGTGGTTTGACTTGGTAGGGAGGCAAAGAAATTGAAATCACCTGCACTTTGTCCTGCTGTTGCAGTGGGGGTAAAGAAATTTGCCAAACTTGGAGCTGGTTTTCCCGGCTTATTGGCCGCCTCGGAGGCGTTTGAACCCCGTCGATAGGGATTTGCACCACCAGCTGCTGGTTGGGTAGGTGGTGGAGCTAATGGTGGTGCTGCAACACCTTTATCGGCTGGTTCTAATTGCAGATTTTGCAAAGTTTGTTCCAAAGAATCGGATGGATTTGTAGCTGCGCTTTCAATGACCGGTTCAATGGGTTTAAAGAAATTCTCAGATGATTCCGATTGTTGGCCAAAGAAGTTACCAACTTGATTGGATAATTGTTGTTCCGGTTCAGCGGGGGTTTCTATTTTTTGTTGAGGTTCTTCTGAAACCGGTTCAATGGGTTTAAAGAAATCTGCTTGTGATGATTCTTGCGCCTGTTGGTCTTGGGTCTCAGCTACCGGTTCAATTGGTTTAAAGAAATAATCGGGATTTACAGGTTGTTGTTGCTGTTCGAAGGGTTTACTTTCTTCTGGAACTTTGTTTTCTTCCTCCAGAGGAGCTTGAGAAGTCTGTGGAACAGTTCCGGGATTTTCTTCTTTTTGACTTGTGGGTACCTCTAATTTAGGTTCCACTTGGGCGACTTCTTCAACCTTGTGGCTTACTTCCGGGGTAGGTGGAGCAAATAAGTCAACACTTTGGCCTAGATTAGTTGCAGATTGGGCTGGAGTTGATACTTCTGCCGTGGGTGGGGCAAATAAGTCAACACTTTGAGCCTCGGAACTTGGTACAAATACGTTGGCCACCTGAGTTAATGCTGGGCCAGGGAAACCTTGATTGTAGGGTTGAAAGAGATGCTGAGTTGATGGCTGTGGTGGTACCGAAGTTTGATTAAATGTTTGTGGTCCAGTAGTAAATCCACCTGCTACTCCATACACAGGATTGGGTAGGGTGTGAGCTGGAGCTGTTTCTTGGCTAGTTAATGGATTTTTATAGAGTTTGGTGCCTTTCTGTAAACGATATGATGTGGAACCGGAAGGTGGAGGGGGCAATGCCGATCCTCCAGTTGCTGGTGGGGGTAATGCAGAACTTCCACTTGGAGGAGGTTGTGTTGATGCCCCAGTAGTTGTTGGTGCCGCAAATTGTGATGCTTGAGGAGCTGGAGATGGATCAAAGAATCCTGCAGGTGGTTGGGTAGAAGGAGCGGAACTTGGCTGTAAAGGATTAAAGAAATTTACTGGTGGAACAACTCCTGCTGTGGGTTGTTGAAGTGGATTAAATAAAGTTATTGGTGGCTGCTGGTCAGTGGAAGCTTGACTTGTTGACGATGGTGGTCTCTGTGGAACACCGGCAGAAGATGATGGTGGTAAAGTGGGTGGTTGATTAACAATTGGTCCTTGTAAGGGATTGAAAAATTGCACTGCAGGAGCTTGAGAGAGCTGTTCCTGAGTTGATGCTGATGGTGGTCTCAATGGCACTTGAGCCCCAGTAGATGAAGTTGAGGTTGGTGGTGGGGCCTGCAAAGGATTGAAAAATTGTACAGCAGTTGGTTCGGCTTGCTCAGAAGTAGCTGGAACTTGTGATGTTGAATTATCGGATCGTATGGGAGCTTGATTTGATGGTGGCCTCAAAGGCTGTTGAGTTTCAGCAGGACTAGAGGCTGGTGGCAACGATGGCTGACTAACAGCTGGAACCGATAAGGGATTGAATAATTGCACGGGTGGTGCTGTTGTTTGCCCCTCGGGAATAGGTTGTATAGCCGAATCCGAAGTTGTTGATTGATCAACCTGAGATTGAGGTTGATCTGAAAATGTCTGTGGAACTGCCTCACTGTAGGTATTATAGGGCCTAGAAGATGGCCTTGCTGGACGGGGTGGTTCAGCTGAATTGGTATTTTGTTGGAAGGGATCAAATATTGTTGGTGGAGCTGCTGCTGCCGAGGGATTGAAAAAGTTTACTCCCGCCTGTGTATCAGTCGAAGGGGTGAAAAATGGCACAGAAGAAGCGTGAGGTGGAGGTTGTTGTCCCGGCTGTGAGGGAGGTCTGCTGGTTGAAGCCGTAGAAGTCCCCTGAGTAGGCTGGGAGGCTGTGGCACTTTCCGCTTGCTTGAAGGGATCAAAAATACTTGCTGATGCCGCTGTGGGATTGAAAAAGTTTATTGGACCACTGGGTGGAACGCTTCCTGCCTGTTGGGGATTGAAAAATGCAACAGGCTGGATAGCAGCAGGAGGAGGTTGAATAGCCTGGGTATTCACCGATTCACCTGTTGCTGGTGGAGGTGGTGTATAATTGGCCTGGGGTTCTCCAGAATAGTTGGGAGTTGCAAAATAATTTGTGGCCGGTGGTGGTGGCAAAGGATATCCCACTCCAACCTGTTGTTGTTGCTGCTGCTGATCAAATTGTATGCCAAAATTTCCACCTTGTGGCTGTTGATACTGTTGTTCGTAATTGTTTCCACTTGGGGTCTGCGATCCGGCGTTTGGGTTTATGGTCTGGGTTATGGTACCCGCTGCCGATTGCACTAATCCCGTTATATTTTGTAGAACACCAGCGGGAGCAAGTTGGGTGATTTTCGAAAAGAGTCCACCTTTACGCTCTTCAGATTTACGTTCTTCCGTAGGATATGTGGGAGTTTGACTATAGGGATCCGTTGAGGGAAATGGTGCTGGTGGTATAGCACCTGGTAAAGGTGCTGCAGGTTGAAAGAGTGCTGCTTGAGCGGGTTGTTGTTGCTGTTGATCCGAAAGACCTGGTATGGGAGCGTAAAGTTTTTTCTTTGCCGAAAAACGGAAATTATTTTGTCCCCCTGCGGAGGAGGGTGGTGGTACAGCGGCTGCTGTTGGTGGTGCCTGTGGTATTTCAGCTGGTGTATAGAATTTTGGTGGTTCAGCTGGTGGTATATTTGGATTAGCTGTAGGATCTAGTCCCGAGGCAAAACCATAAGCAGATCCGGTAGATTCAGTCGCAAGTGGAGGAGGGGCATAAAATGGTTGATCAGATGGTGGTTGATTTGTGCCGGAATATTGATATTGTTGTTGCTGCTGTGATGGTGGAAATTGTTGTTGTTGTTGCTGCTGCGTATAGTTCGGTTGTATATCTAATTGTGGCACATTGGAATTTCCATTTGGATCTGCGGTTGACGTTTCATAACCTGGTGTAGTCTCACGACTTGATATTCCCGTTATACGTTTCGAAAACGATGAGAACACATTCGATGCTACCGATGGTAGGGCGGAAAACGATGAAGCTGCTTGACTTAAAATTGAATCACTTGTCGTTGATTGCTGTTCCCATAGAGGATTTGCATTAGCATCGGCGGTTGTGCTCTCTTCGTTGGATGCGTTCAAATTGATTTCATCAAGATTTTCCGTATCCAATGATGATGAGCCGACAGTTACCAATGATTTGGGTTCTGAAAGGTGGAGAAGAATAAGAAGAAAAGAAAATTAAATAAAAATTAATATGGAAAATGTCAAATTAAAAGGGTTGTCGAAGATAAAAAAATAAATAAAAAGTCCATCTAAGGTCCAAAGCTGAAATTCGATTCGAGTAGATGTGTTCAAAACTTTCAGTTCGATTGGTAAAAATTGAGTGGTAAATAATGTTATTGGTGGGCTGCTGGTCAGTGGAAGCTTGACTTGTTGATGATGGTGGTCTCTGTGGAACACCGGCAGAAGATGATAGTGGTAAAGCGGGTGTTTGATTAACAATTGGTCCTTGTAGAGGGTTGAAAAATTGTACTGCAGAACGTTGAGAGACCTGTTACAGAAGTGGTGCTGATGATGGTCTCAAGAGTTCTTGAGCTCCAAACGATTTTGGAGGTGCTTGATTGCCTTCCAAGGTAACCTGTAAGGGATTGAAGAATTGAACTGGAGCAGACATGGCAGACGATAGCGGCTGGAAGACCTGATCTGAAGTTTGTGGATCTTGATTTGAAGATGTTGTGGAACTCCAATAGGAGCTTGGAAAGGATTTGAGTGGTTAAATATCTCCAATTAGATCTATAATCTATTGGACACAGTCGGATGAAGAAAGCTTCTGAAGAAAAT